CTTCAGTGCTGAACTGGTTCCAAGGTCAAATACCTGGCAACGGATTGTCGGAATCAAGCCAGCCCTCTGTGGCAGAAAGGAAAAGAAGCAAACTGTGTCCTTTTGCTCCTCTTGGTGAGATTGAAAGAAAATTGGCAATAAAACACAAGTGAATGCCAAGTGAGTGGTGTTTAATTAAACCCACTGCTTCCTCCTACCTGTCCTTGGGCAAACACATAAGTGATTTCACACTCTTTCTGCTCCATTGCTTCAGGTGAAAGCATTGTTACCGCACCAGCTGGTCACTGCCTGTGAAGTGCAGCCTTGCCCATTCTTCTAATAATAATAATGTCTAAGAATAATATTTGACACAGCACCTTATCATGTCCTTGAGACGTCTCGGCCTTGCTCCCTCCTACCTCTCCGACCTACTATCCCCCTACCTACCTGCCCGTACCCTCCGTTCCTCTGGCTCCGGTCTGCTCCACGTACCCGGCCCCAACCGCCCTACCATCGGTGGCCTTCAGCCTCTCAGCCCCCAGGCTCTGGAACTCTATCCCCCAGTGCCTTCGTCGCTTCCTCCCTTTCCTCCTTCAAGGCCGGTCTCAAAACCTTTCTCTTTGACCGAGCCTTCAGCTCCCCTCTCGACTCTCTTCCCCCTCCTCGCTCCCTCCCTTCCCTCCCCTTACCCTGACCATTTCCCCCCTCCTTGCTCCCTCCCTTCCCTCCCCTCGCCCTGACCATTTCCCCCCTGCTCGGGTCATGACCCAACTGTGCAGCGCCTTGGGACGTCCTCCTGACGTGAAAGGCGCTTTATAAATGGAATCTTGTTGTTGTTGTTGTTGTTGTCTCAAAGCGCGTCACAGAATACACTGTAAAGTGGAATGACTGTGTATTTTGTGGACAAATATTTTTTGGGGGCGTCAGCCGGGTGTCAGACACCTGTGGAAATCCTTCACCGTTGCTTAAGAGTATCCAAACCAAGCTAAGAATTCCATGCATCCCACCTAAATCCCAGAGATAGATTGTTGGAATGGAATGCGCTCTCACTCTCTCTCCCTGGAGGGACGCATCCTGCTTACCTAATTCCAGAAAGTATTAGGCGCAGGTTGGCAAGAGCCAAGGCTTGGGGGTGGGAGGGAAGCCCAGAGTGTGCGTTGGGGTAACTGCTGGGAGTCCAACCATCTAAAAACGCTTGATATCACTGTCTGGAAAGCTTTCCCGCTGCTTGTCCACCTAGGACCACCCTAGCCGTTAGGGCTTTGGCTTGCAGGGTTAACAGGAGCTGAGGGGGAGGATTCTCTGCCCCCTTCCAGGTCCTGCCGATGAGCCAGGCTGGGCTATCATCAGCAGTGACTTGGAATACTGCGGACCTGCCTGCCTCAGGAACCGGACTAGAGACCGTCACGATCAAACAGGAAGGGCTTTAGGTGGGAAGTTTTGAACGTTGGGGGAGGGAGGGGGCAAGGCGAAGGGATTGAGGGGGGGAGTTCCAGAGTTTCGGGGGGTAGTGGCTGAAGACACAGCCACCAATGGTGGAGCGGAGGGGACGAGGGACAAATAGGAGGCAGCGGGTGGTGGAATGGGGAGTAAGCAAATCGGAAAGGTAGGGAGGTGCGAGGGAATGAAGGGATTTGAAAACGAGTGAGAGGATCTTGAAATCAATCCATTCGGTAATTGGGAGCCATTGGAGGCAGAATTTTGAATTAGTTGAATTTTATGTATGGTGGAGCTGGGTTACAAGCTGGAGTCTAATGGAGGGGGCTCACGGGTGTGTGCATGAGGGGGGCGTTATATATGTGTAACGGATACACAGTTGTGCTCCAGAATGAGCTCCAATTGTGTGAGTGAAAAAAGAACGTGACCTGATCTTAGATTTGCCAGACCTCAATTTGCCGTGGATGCAATTATTCCTTGTTTATCATGTAACTCGTTCAATTTATGGACCGTGTTTGTGGAGGTGTAATTGTTAAGCGGTGACTGTGAGGAGTGCTGGCGCTCTGGGCTCCGATTGCGGGTTCGATCAGCGTCTTTGCCATTAGACCAGCCAACACTCGCGGCACCAGCGATAGATAGGGAAATAATCACTCTGCGTTTACTTCACCCTAATCTGCAGTTGATTGCCTGGCAATTCAACGCTCGGCTCTGGATTTATTGTACATTAGCTAAACATCAACTGAAAAGGCAGTGCAACGATACTGGGACTTCACATCAGACTTGTACGCCTCCTTCATTGACCTGTCTTCGCCTGTGGCGTTACCCCAATCACTGGATTAAGTTATTATACAGCCACGTATGATACGTTAAACCAAGGTCCTCCATCCCGCGGTGCCTTCGCCTCGCTTCCTCCCTCGCCTCCTTCAAGGCCGGTCTCACGACCCTTCTCTTCGACCGTGCCTTCGGTCTCCTTCTCCCACCTCTCTCTGCCTTCCCTCACCCCTACCCCACCCCTCCCCCCATGCTCGAGCCCCGACACCTGACCGTTCAGCGCTTTGGGACGTCCTTCCAACGCGAAAGGCGCTCTATCGATGTAATTTTGTTGTTGTTGTTGTTGTTGTTGTTGTCCTGTCTGTGCCTGTTCAGGTAGATGTTAATGTATCCCAAACAAATCCCCAATAAAATTGGTCACTCACCACAGGACTGTCTTGTCTGTGGGGCATTTCAAACCCCTTCACGCCCCGGAGCCTCCGTCCCTCCCTCCCTCCATCTCCGACCTGCTCACCCTCCCACCCCACCACCCGCTGCCTCCGCTCGGCTGGCGCCGGCCTCCTGTTTGTCCGTCATTCCCCCCCCACTCCACCGTTGGTGGCCGTGCCTCCAGCCGTTACGTCCCGAAGCTCTGGAACTCTCTCCCCCAATCCCTCCCTCCGCCCTGGTCCCTCCCTACCTTCAAATCCCACCCAAAGACCTTTGTTTTTGAACGTGTTTACGGACACCTTCTCCACTCCCCCCCCCTCCCTCACCCCATCCCCCCTCCATCCCCTTCCCTCCCTCTCCCCATCCCCCCTCCATCCCCTTCCCTCCCTCTCCCCATTCCCCCTCCATCTCCTTCCCTCCCCCTCCATCATCACCCCCCCTTCCTCTCCCCTCCACCCTCTTCCCTCCCTCCATCCCCTTCCCCCCTCTCCCCTCCACCCCCTTCCCTCCCTCCATCCCCTCTCCCCTCCATCCCCTTCCCCCCTCCACCCCTTCCCTCCCCCTCCATCCTCACTCCCCCCTCCCCCTCCATCCTCACTCCCCCCTCCATCCTCACTCCCCCCTCCCTCCCCCCTCTTCTCCCGCACTGCGATAGGGCGAATACTTCTTGATGGACGCGGACGGGCGACCAATGGGATTGGAGGTTCAGGCGGGAGGGGGCGGGGGGGGGGACGACGACGACCACGACGACGACCGCGAGGAGGTGGGTGGAGCGAGTTTGAGCGACGCGCCGCGCGACCAATGGGCTGAAAAGGGGGCGGCGGGGCCGGGAGTGGACTGGGTGGTGTGGTTGTGATTGACAGGAGCGCGGGGCCAACGGGCAGCGGGAGCGTCGCGGGCCAGCGACCAGTGGGGCGTGGAGGGGGGCGGGGCTGGCGGCAGGCGGCGGCGGTTAGTTTTTGATTTGCTGCTCGCGCTCAGTCGCCTCGAGGAGTCAGAGGGGGGACAGACCGACAGAGAGATGGACAGAGTGTGCGAGCGAGAGACTGCCTGATAGACAGAGTGTGAGGGAGAGAGAGACTGTCTGATAGACAGAGTGTGAGGGAGAGAGAGACTGTCTGATAGACAGAGTGTGAGGGAGAGAGAGAGAGAGAGGGAGGGAGACTGCCTGATAGACAGAGTGTGAGGGAGAGAGAGACTGTCTGATAGACAGAGTGTGAGGGAGAGAGAGACTGTCTGATAGACAGAGTGTGAGGGAGAGAGAGAGAGAGAGGGAGGGAGACTGCCTGATAGACAGAGTGTGAGGGAGAGAGAGACTGTCTGATAGACAGAGTGTGAGGGAGAGTGAGAGAGAGACTGCCTGATAGACAGAGTGTGAGGGAGAGAGGGAGACTGTCTGATAGACAGAGTGTGTGAGAGAGAGAGAGAGAGAGAGACTGTCTGATAGACAGAGTGTGAGAGAGACTGTCTGACAGACAGTGTGAGGGAGAGAGAGAGAGACTGTCTGATAAGAGTGTGAGGGAGAGAGAGAGACTGCCTGATAGACAGAGTGTGAGAGAGAGAGACAGAGAGAGAGACTGTCTGATAGACAGAGTGTGAGAGAGAGAGACAGAGAGAGAGACTGTCTGATAGACAGAGTGTGAGGGAGAGAGAGAGAGAGAGGGAGACTGCCTGATAGACAGAGTGTGAGAGAGAGAGACAGAGAGAGAGACTGTCTGATAGACAGAGTGTGAGGGAGAGAGAGCGACTGTGTGATAGACAGAGTGTGAGGGAGAGAGAGAGAGAGACTGCCTGATAGACAGAGTGTGAGGGAGAGAGAGAGAGACTGTGTGATAGACAGAGTGTGAGAGAGAGAGACAGAGAGAGAGATCGCCTGAGACTGAGAACAGAGAGACTGAGAGAGAGAGAGACCGAGAAAGAAAAAAAAGAGACAGAAAGGGAGAAACGGATTGAGAAAGAGACATAGAGAGTGAAAGAGAGAGCGAGAAGGGGGGGAAAGAGAAATTGAGGCTTACAGACTGAGAGAGAGTCACATAGAGAGAAAGGAGAGGGGGAGAGAGAAGGAAGAAGACTATATATATAGGGAGAGATAGGGTGAGGGAGACGGGGACAGAAGAAGAGACGAGGACAGGGAGACAGATAGGAAGAAAGTGGGGGAGAGATAGTGATATATATATAGAGAGAGAGAGGAGAGTGGGATATAGGGAGAGAGAGAGACTGGGAGAGGGAGATAAGGAGGGAGAGACGGACGGGGGGGAGAGATAGAGACATATATATAGAGAGAGTCTTGGAGAGGGAGACTGGGAATATAGAGATATAAGGAGAGAGAGACTGGGAGAGGGATATAGAGAGATAGAGGAGGGAGAGAGAATCTCAGGAGAGCCACGTGGGGGTGGTGGTGGGGGGAGGGGGTGGATTGTTGTTGCTGTTTTGTATTTAACCTCGAAAAGCGAAAAGGAAAGGGGGGGAAAAAAAACCCCAAAGGGCAAAGGACGACAGAGGGCAGCGTCTCCTCTGACGCTTTATATATATATATATATATATATATATAAACACTTACATATATATATATATATACACACACACGTATAGAAGTAAGTGGCTGCAAATAATACCAGGGCACAGCAGTGAAGTGCTGGAGAGGCGGTGGGGGGGGATGGAGAGTGAGAAGTACTTGCCTGAGCTAATGGCCGAGAAAGACAGTCTGGATCCTTCCTTTGTCCATGCTGCCCGCCTGGTGAGCGCAGGTAAGAGACTGGTCACACACACACACACACACACAGAGAGAGATGGAGAGAGAGAGAGATGGAGAGAGACAGATGGAGGGAAAACTTTCGTTGACTTGGAGGGTGAGGCAAGGGAGGGAGAGGGAGGGAAGGGAGGGTAGAGGTCAAAACCTGTGGATTTTTGGTTGACTAATCATTACTATGATATAATAATCCTTGCGTTTGATACCGCGCTTTGCCGCGTCGCCCAGACGTCTCAAAGCGCCGCACGGAACACACGGTAAAGCGGCGCGGCTCGGGCGCTTTGTGGGCGCGATAGATTGTGATAGTAATTGCATTCGATTCTGGCGCCTTATCGCAAGACGTCTCTCCCCCCCCCCCCCCCCCCCGGGGGTGTGATGGTGATTATCTTTGCATTTGATATAGCGCCTTGGCACGTCGTCGAGACGTCTCAAAGCGCTTCGCAGAATATACTGTAAAGTGGAGCGACTGTGTATTTTGCGGGCGAAATGCGCACAGCAGTGTTCCACAGCCAGTCGTGGATTGTTAAGAGAGCCGAAAAAAATTTGGAGGGGTTATTTCCCTGCTTTCCCTTTAAACTGTGCATTTTCTAGGCAAATAAAATGCTGGTTTTTTTTAAAAAGAAAAAAAATGACAAGCACAGCTTAGCCGCGACACTCTGAGCCGCTGCCCCGCTTGCTATATATATATATATATATATAATATATAAATCCAAGAAGTTGTTGTTGCTGAAGAGAAGGAAGGCTTTTTCTTTATATAATTGATTTTCTTTGGTCAGTCGACTGACTTGGTGAAGCAACCAGTCAAGTAATAAAAATAATAATAATCCTTGAATTTGATACGGTGTCTTGAAAACCTTTGCAGCATTTAAAGTGTAGTGACTGTTGTTTAGGCAAACATCTTTTGTGTTTTGTTTGATAATGATCATCCTTGCATTTGATATAGTGCCTTATCATATCTTTGAGACGTCTCAAAGCACTTCACAGAACATACTGCAAATTGACTGTATGTTTTGTATGTATTATTTAATTTAGCACTTTGGTAGTTAATTTAACGCACAATACAATTTACAATAAATACAATTTGCATTTATATAAGCATCTTACACATCGGGAGGGTGTCTCAAATGTGCTTGTAATTTTGTTGTTGTGTTGAACCACAAACGGCCACAGATTAAGTGAATATCTAACTATCACATATGTAAGCTACGTACAGATGGAAATTTCCTTGTGAAATGTCTTTATATATCTATTCCTTTTTTCTCTTGCCTCAAACGAACTCACCAAGGAGTGCTTAACAACCCCCACGCACACTTGCATTTCTTTTGAGTACAATACTGTACAATTAACATTAAACGCCTTTCAAATAGGTCAGAATTGTTTTGGGTTTCAATGTAATTTTTTTGTTGCAAAGGGGTGGTAGTAAAATTTAAAGTTGATCGAGATATATTAATCACGTTGCACATTGTGTACAATTTCCTAGTTTCTTTCTCGCTATGAAAACAATTCTAGACACTTGCAGATCAAGAAGATCTTTCTGCAAGTGTCTAGAATTGTTTTCATAGCGAGAAAGAAACTAGGAAATTGTACACAATGTGCAACGTGATTAATATATCTCGATCAAATGTATGTTTTTTTTTAAATAGTTACAATATTTTATAAACATTTTATTTTAATGCTATTCAAATTCACTTTAATGTAGAACAAATATCTGTTTTTCTTTTAAAAAAAATTGTCAAGAGCCCTTGTTAAACTGCAAAGTTACTTTATTTTTGGTCACAGTGTGTTCAAGAATGTGACTTTTTCAATGAACTCCTGTGGAACCATCCTGGAGTCTGTATAATCTGGAATTATTTGCAATATTGTACGTGAGCTCTTGTGAATTGAGAGGTTTTCCTTCTCGTCTCAGAATTTATCAAGGTCTGCTTTTTCATAAAAATGAGTGGAAATGATTGGTGAAGTAATGGCGACACAACACAGTACTTCACTGTTTTCAAAATCCTGTTTAATTCATGCCTCCATTGGAGCCCTGGTGAAACTACAGCTCTGGTGAGAATCTTTTGTTCCAGATTGAAAAGGGAGCTCTATTGATGGTTCTTGGGGGAGAAGGAAAGAGAGATGAGATCCCTCTTGCTTTGTGATTGATTTTGCATTAAATATATTAAATATTGCGTTAATTCTTCAATTTGGCATCTTCAAAGAAGGTTTTGCAAATGTTCTGATAGATGGATGAATGATGGGTCATACAGTACCACAAAAGCTGCTGATTATTTTAGTTCTGTAACAATAGCCTGTCTACTCTTAATTGGCGGCAGTGTTAGGATGCTACGCACGGGTAAGATAGGGGGAAAATGACATAATGTGGGGTCATTTGCTCCTTTGTAGAATGCTATTTCAATTAAATAAAGGCTTGAGGATATGTATAGATGGCAAATCAACGAAGCAAAACTAGGGAAAGTGATGTGGTGAACTGGACGTTTCTCTGACCATTTCCAATGGATAGCTTTATGGATTACTTCACTAACGACTACAAATTCAGTGAAGTATCGAGGAGTGCAAGAATGCAACTGAATGGTTCATTCACATAATAGTAATCCTTGCATTTGATATAGCGCCTTATCATATCGTTGAGACGTCTCACAGTGCTTCACAGAATATACTGTAAAGTGGATTGACTGTTTATGTTGTACTTGGTTTTTACGATTTATGAGTTTTACTGTGCTTAAACACAATCAAATTAGTGTTTTATTTAAAACAAATAATTTGTGCATTTACTTTGTGTTAAGCGTTTAAATTTTAATTATGTGGAACCCCTCAACTATTAGTTAGCAGAAATTAGAAAGTAAACAATAAACCAACCAGCTAATGTAGGGCTTTTGTGTAGAGATAGGCTGTTTTTTTTTAAAAAAAGACATTGATTTGGTATAAGAATGAAGGATTGCAACCCGAATGTAACTTTTCAGTTGAAATATGTTCTTATGAAAACTGCTCTACAGTTAAATCCTGATCAAGTTATGAAGTTTAATCCTAATTGGGCTTTTTATGTGATTTTACATTTAGTTTGGATGTGCAAATCAAGTGAAAGGGATTTTGGTATATTATTTTGACCCATGCTTCAATTTTATATTTCAAAAGTAGATTATTAAGCTTCTATATAATATGCTTGCGTTTGATATAATGTCTTGTCATCGAGCTGTCTCTAAGCGCTTCACAGGAATTATTGTGACATTTAGAACCGTAAGACTATTTGTCAGCTAGCTTTGTTTTGAGTTAAAATTTGCAATTGACAAATTAGAACAGTGAAATGTTCTTTATAACCTATCAGGAATTGGGGAAAATAATGCATTGAAATTCAATATAGTTTTAATTATTTAAACACTTCCACCTGCCTGTTGCTATCAACAAAACCCAGGAGATGTGAATCTAACTCAAACTGTCCTTGTAGAGTATGAAGGTATATAGTAAAAGTTGTGTGCTTTTTAAGGCAAATGTAGATATTTGTGCCTAAAGGGTTCCGTTCTGGTAAATAACATCCGAGTTCAGCATCACGCTTTTTGTTGTGTGGTTGATTAAATGTGTCCTGATCTCATCTGTCAGTGCAGTGCAACGCATGAGCACACATCTTAAACCCCAAGATCTGTACAAGGTTGCTGGAAATGGGAAAAGCAATGCAATCTGATTATTTCACAACACTGTTAATACTAAGGGCTTTGTATTTATTATTTATAGAGTTGACCCAGCATTGATAAGCCGCTGCTTTGCGTTGATGCGTATCTGGTATTAGACATGGCCACTGCTATGCTGTTAGTACAGTTGGATGCATTTTGTGCTTGATAAAGTGATGTGATGGCGTTGCAAAAATATGTTTTGTGAACTTTTCCACTTGGAGATTTTATTTTAAATTGGAAAGAACTTTTAGAACTTGCTCAGTGTTCTTGGCAGCTGTAGCTTTCTATGTTTTGATTAAAATACGGATGACTTTTGTGGTTCCTGTGTAATGGATTGCAAGGATAACAACAACTGCTTGCGTTTATATAAGTGTCTCTCATGCAGGGCAGTGTCCCAGAGAGCTTGACAGTGATGGAGCATGATACCAAGCTGCGGGGAGGTTAAAGTCAAAGGCCTCCAGGTACGACCTGAAGATGGCAAAGGAAGGGCAAGGAGGAGGGATTGAGGGAGAGCGTTCCAGAGTTTTGGGGTGTAGTGGCTGAAAGCGCAACCCCAAATGGTGGAGTGGAGGGCACGAAGGATAAGCAGGAGAACAGAGGCAGCGGGTGGCGGAGTGGGGAGTAAGCAGGACGGAGAGGTAGGGAAGTGCCAGGGAATGAAGGGATTTGAAGACGAGTGTGGGAATCTTGAAATCGACCAACTTGGTGATTGGGAGCTAGAATTGGAGTCTGGCAAGAACAGGTGTGATGGGGATACAGAATTTGATGCGGAATATAACTATTATCACAAATCAGGAATTTTGTGATTGAGCAAGTGCATGATATCACCCTGGATATCTGTGTTTGGATTGCATATGCCGAGGAGACCTGTAGCTCAGTGGTCAGAGCACTCACCTTGCAAGCGAGAGACCGGGGTTCGATTCCCGGCAGCGTGAAACCTTGGGCAAGTTTCCTTACTCCACACGTCTGATAATAATCCTTACAAGAAAAAAATGTGGTCACTCAATCCACGACTGTTTGCGGGACACTTCTGTGCACAATTGGCTGCTGATTTGCCCCGCAAAAATGCAGTCAATTCACTTAACGGTATATTCTGTGAAGCGCTTTGAGAAGTCTAGATAAGGCGCTATATCAAATGCAAGGATTATTAGTTATGTGGAACTGATTTTAGCACAAAGTTACTGTGAATATTCTTTTATGAAGCAGGATATTTTAGACACTGAAATAAATCATCAATGAGTTTTAATGCACCTTGAAAGTACACGTTGGTGAGTCTGTGGATTGTTGGTTAAAAAGTCAGGGGAAATGCGAAATTATCTTTTTTCTGCTTGGT